TGGTACTTAATAACAAAAATAAGTAAATGAAAGGACCTATGTTACCTTCTGCAGTGATGTTCTGAGAAACAGTGTTATTGTTATTGGTCAGTGCTTTTGAGTTAGTTCTGATTCATAATTACCCTATACAGGAGTGACTAGTGGCTAGTAGACCAGTACTTATCCTATGGTGCCACACTGGGACTCTGAGAAACAGTGAGAATGAACTAAATCAATCTTGGTGACTGCCTGTTTTTGCAAATGAAGCACTCCTGGGACACAGCCACATGCATAGGTTTATGCATTGCTTTTTGTGACTTTCCAGCTATAACAGAAGACTTATGTAGTTGCAACTTAATGACCCATCAAGCAAAAATATTTACTATCTGCACATTTGCGGAGAGTTTGCCCACCCTTGGCCTACATGATTAGTCTACTTTCACTTACTACTTCAATGGCCTACAGTCTTGCTTTAATCTTGATTTCTAGTCCAGGCATTTTTTGGACCACCAAAGTCATGAAGTCAGCAGCCTACAGACATTTCTACCTGCAGGTCCCATGGGCACTTCAAGTTCAACTGGTTTCAAACCAAACTTGACCTCTTTCTGCTCCGGCGTAGAGCTCTGTCTCAGCACAGTGACTGATACCATCTAGATTCCCAAGTCAGCTTCATATGCCCCTCAAGCTTAGCTTCCTTCTGACTTATCTTTTAAATATCTTTTGGAGCCAAGCCTGCCTCTCCATTCCAGAGGGCATTGCCAAAGGGTATCTCTTCCCAAGGGTTTGAGGAAGTGGGATACTGTTCTCTCTAGAATTTTAGACTGGACTTTTCCTCTGATTTCTGTGTCTATGACCTGGATGGGGGATTTGCTGTTTCTGTGGGCCTTTGTTTCAAGGCTTTGCTGTTTGACTCTATTTAAAGAGAAGAGTAATAATAAGCCCAAACATAAAGGGGTTTCTTTTTAAAGTTCCCTCATATGTATATTTTGGAGTCCTGGTGTGGCGCTGTGGGTTAATGCGCCAGACTGCAAAATCGTTTGAACTGCAAGGTTAGCAGTTCAAGCTCACCAGCTGCTCCTTGGAAACCCTATACAGGGTCACTATGGGTTGGAACCAATTCGACGGCTAATAACAACAACAACCTATGTGTATTTTACTTTCAAAGCTTACAAAACACTTTCACATTCTTGATCTCATTTGATCCCAGTCTAGGGAAGGAGCTGTTGACATTATCAGTATTTATTTATCTACAGGAGAGGATGGGGTTTAAAGGGTCACATGATTGCTTAAGGTCACCTGCTTATTGTTACTGTTAAGTTGCTATAAATGTCGTCAAGTTGGTTCTGACTCTTGGCGATCCAGAATAGGGTTTCTGAGGCTTTAAATCTTCACAGGAACAGAAAGCCTCATCTTTCTCCCACAGACCAGCTGGTGGGCTTGAACCATGAACCTTGTGGTTTGCAGCCATCTGCTTAGAAACCATAATGGATTCAGGACCAAGTCTCCTGACTCCATCCTTCCTTCCTTCTTTCCTTCTACTCTTTTTAAACGATTCTTCCTTCCAAGCATCTGCAGTTCAGCTTTCTTTTCCCGTGAACACTAGAAATCCATCAGGTAATACTTTATATGTCTTAGGTTCCCACAACGAAGATCAGTATTAAAAAAATGACAGCGACTGATTATTTATAGCAGTATCTATTGTTACTAAGGGAGACAGACCAAACAATTCCCCATTGTTACAGATACTACTATGAGTTGACAGCTGGGGAAGTCTGATAGGCAGTTTATTTACTTAGTCATTTAACCAGATAAATGTTTTCATTTTTCTTTCATCTCCTCAAAAGCTAACATTTCGCCCTTAAAATTGCTCCAGCAACACACTAGTGAAGTATAAATTACCTGCCATTCCCACACCAGCCATTATAATATTATTTTGCTTCTTTTTTGCCCCTGTTATCCTCAGTCTTTCAAAGACAAGTGATTCTTCCAGACAGGATGGTAGGGGGAAGAAGGTAAAATAACAGAAGATATTTCCCTTTATTGCTAAAACAGAACTGCTGTTTGAGACTGATCCTGAAGCTTCTATCTGCATGGATTTCCTCTTTTTCTCCTGATTATGGTGCGATATAGCTTTAACATATCAATAGATGTCACCCTTACCTACTCAGAACCATGCGGGTGTTTTTTTAATAAAGAGCAGCTGCTGATAATGTCTGCTAGGACCATAAGAAGGAGAGGACTTTGTTTCTCAACTGCACAAAGACAGAGAGGAAAATAGGACGCTGGCCATAAGTATCCCCATTTAGAAAGGCACTAAGAAATATAGTCAGAAAATTTCCAGTTGGGTGGATGGATGAATGGAATGGAGAGAAAAAGATCACCAGAGGCTTGCGCTGCTGTTGATGGGAAGGACTGGGAAGGTCTTAGGGGATATATCTCACAGGGTGACGTCGGTCTTTGGCATATGATTCTTGATGGAGAATTGTGAAGTCTTCAGGCTAAATCTTCAATGGGAGAAAGTTGTTACACTGAAGATTACAATCCAGTCCAGATGACTCTAAGAATGGCCATTTTTTGGTAGCCAGTGAAGTCCAAACCAGATTGTTCTGATTATGGAACAGGGAAAACCAAAGAGCCAAGAAGTGATGTTTTTCATGTTTTTTCTCCCCCAAAAGCTTTTTGCAGGTATGTTGTTGTTGTTAAGTGCCATCGAGTTGGTTCTGACTCCTAGTGACCCTGTATAGGATTTCTGAGGAACAGCTGGTAGGTTTGGACTACCGACCTTGTGGTTTGAAGTCCATAGCACCACACCAAGACTCTAGCATTACTAAATATTTAAAATACAAGGTGATGGGGAATCACCATGTACTGAGCATGTGTGATGAAGAAGATGCTGGTGGTGACATTTACAGTGGTGATAGTGGATGGCATTAGTGATAATGGCAGCTATCATCTACCCGGTGAGTTTCATGTGCCAGACACTCTAGGTGCCAGAACTCCAAACACATCACCTCAGCGAGTCCACAAAATAACCCTATGAGGCAGGGAAATGTTTTTCAGCCCTCTTTTCCAAATGAAGAAAAGAAGTTAGGAAATTATTATGGAATCTCAACAGGGTCAACTAGCCAGTAATTAGTAGAGCCAGAACCTAAACTCAGGTAACCTTACCTTAGAAGGTATTTAAGCTGGGTACCAAATGTCCTTCTCTGTGTTAGAGATGCAACATGCAATGTTACAGTCAGCATAATGGATAATATGAGCCATGTTTAACGGATGAGAAACCAAGACTCACAGAAGTTAGGATCTGACCCAGGATTTCCCGTTACTGAGTAGTTGAATCAGAATTTGAACCCCACGTCCCAAATCCTGAGCTGTTTCCACTATACCATCCATTTCCATTTACCACCCAGTTGTAGTGTGGGGCACTGGCTTAAATGTCAAATGTGGAACAGGAGAAAGCTCCAGGATGATACAGCTTGTATGACCATTTCAAGCTAAAGGGGCTCATAAAGGTGAGGGCTTGAAGCACTGATCTGCAAATGGAGTAAGTCCTCTTTGTTTTCTAGAACTTCAATTTTAGGACGATGTCTGCTGTTGTCCTGATGAATGATTCTCATCACCTTTATTTAGTTCATTCATCACATTTTTCAAGGCAAGATTGAGCATGTGAAATACAACATATGCATAAGGTAGAAAGAATCTCAAGGGGAATTGTCCCAAGGAGACTGCCCATAATCTCCAACTTTTCTCTTTCTCGGGGCATTAACTTTGCCTTCAGCTCACCAGTTCCCCAGATAGCTTTGCAAGCCTGAATTTTTAAATGGATATTACATGGCTTTGTAAGGCATGATGTATTATTATGTGCCATTGTACTGATATAAAATGTGGCAAAAATATACAGTATGTGAAGTTCTTTAATCATAAAATCTATTAACAAAATGCACTTTCAAAATAGCGTATTAGCTTTCAATAACCGTCAAAATAACATGCATGGACTGAGAATGATTCTGGGGTAGCCTCAAATCCCATTTATGAACAGTGAAAACTATTTACCATTTTAATGGTTCTGACCACAAAAAGCAGCTCTGTGGGTATGGTTCTGCAGTCCAACATGTTTATGGAAAACTAGGCAAGTATTTGAAAATTGAACACATTTGTCAAGGAGTGACCTTCGAAATCATGTCTGGGTAACAAGGTATACTTGTGTCTCCTGAGAAGGTTCGCTTCATCAGCTCCTCTTTCTTTCCATCAAATCAGATGTATTGAAATTCAAGTGCCAAAAGCCACTTGTAGTAAGTGCAAGCACACCTCTCACAAAGTAGCTGCTGATGGAATCTGAAGTGATTCTGTGGCAGCCACATGCTGTAGCACAGGTGCAAATGCAGAGCCTCAGAAACGAATGCCACGTGTCTTTGAATTTCACTTTTACTGTAGGAACGGTGCAGGGCCTCCTCATAGGGAGACAGAAGAGGCTCTGTCATCTTACATCTTCATCAATCTTCTTTCAAACACTGTTTTTACTTCTTAGTCTGCCTTCTCAGTGTATTTAATGGGTGACTTCTTTATATCTGCTGGGTGTAGGCAGATTCAATGACCTTTTGTTTAAATGATCCAAGCAGCTGGACCAGGTCTCATTGAGAAATGATCAGGGTGGGTATCATAAATCTACCTTAGAATGTTGGTGTTTCTAGAAATGTTAAGGAAGCGTTGATTATGCCTCATGCCACCCCTGGCATCCACTCAGAAGATGTGATTAATAAAAACCACTTGACCATTTCCCATTTCTTATCCTCCCCACCCGACCTCCCAATACATGTCCAAGGTCATGCACCCATGCGGGAAAATGTGATGGAAAGCAGACACCAAGCAAATAGCAAAGGTACAAACACAGGGAATACAGTTCAGGCAAGGAAAGATGGTGCAAAGATGGTGGGGAATGTGGCTACAGGTATGAAGAACAAGCACAAGAGAAGCAGAGGACATAAGAAAGGGAGAAGGAAATAAAAAGGGCCGATACCTACCCAGACCTGTGCTATCTAGCTACCGGCCTGTGGACTTATAGTATCACCACTGGGCTCCCCACTGGGCTCACCAAATGGATCACTGTTGGATGAGGCCTGTGATCCATCAGGCTAGAACACAAGAAGATAAAACTTTTTGTTCCTTTACTTTCAACAATTGAAAATATAAGACAGTTGGGCATATTTTCATGCAGCAGATAAGATCAGTTATCCTACAAGGCGGAGCAGTTCTAGGTAGATGATGCCACATCCACAAACATAAGAATGGGTTATAACAACCTCAAAAGGGGCTGTTTTTCAAGTGACTCATTTGAACATACAATAAAACCCCTTTAGCAACCTTCTGGAATTTAGGAGTCTGAGTCAGCATTCTTTTCTATGTAGGTTTCCTGGCACATTGTCCATTGCAGATCTCTGAGTTTTAATCTTAAGGGGAAGAAAAACAAAAACAAACTGAAAATAACCAATGAGTCACTTACAGCTTCTTTTTCTTCACTTTTGCTGGGACTTTCAAATCCCTCTTCGAAGATGTCATCTGTGGTGGGATCACTGGCGTGGGAGGCAGATGATTTGGATGGAGAACTCTGTCTGGGGGCTGGGGTTGGAGCTACACAGAAACCATGCAAAAGAAATGAGAAGCATTTTAAGTGACTGGCTGCAATCACCTGTATTCCATGGACACCTCAGGGATCTGGCTACATTATGAGTCAAATCACAGGGCTTTCTTTCCTATCACAAGATAAATCTGGTGAACATTTGAATTGCTCCTGTGTACATATTCATCTTGTCCTCTCACACATTAGATTACGGATGGCGCTTGTCCCCAGTGATGGGTATGGGAGTTATTCTCAGTGGATGGCCCCTACACCCGCAGCACCAGCGTCAGCCAGTTATGGTTAAGGAATGTGCATTCTGACTCCACCTTGTTGTTGTTGTTAAGTGCCGTGGAGTCGGTTCTGATTCATAGTGACCTTGTGCAGGGTTTCCGAGGCTGTAAATCTTTACAGGAGCAGAAAGCCTCATCTTTCTCCTGCGGAACAGCTGGTAGTTTCGAACTGCTGACCTTGCGGTTCACAGCCCGATTTGTAACCACTTAGAAATACTGAATTAGAAACTCTGAATTTTAACAAGCCTTCCAGTTGATACTCATGCCTATTCGAATCTCAGGAACCCTGGGCTAGGCTTTCGTTTTCCTTTCTAAACTCACAAAAGTACTTTAATAAGAGAACACAGATTGGAGGGCAGTTCAAACTCACCAGCCGCTCCTCAGAAACCCTACACAGGGTCACCATAGATTGGAAATGACTCGACAGCACTTAACAGCAATGTCCATATGCTGAGTGCCTTCCAGGTGTTAGACCCTGTTAGAAATGTCACAGACATTATTTCTAATCCTCATGAAGACTCATTGAGATAGGGATCATCTTTAGTTTACCGAAAGAAAGTGAAGGTTGCTAAGTTGTTCACCCAGCTGGCAACTGTTAGAACCAAGCTTTGAATCTGGTACATAGTAGCTGCTCAATCAACACTCACTGGATGCATAATAAGTGTCTTAGGTCCTTAGGTCTTTTCCTGCTACACTAGGGCCTTTGGGCCATGTGGGTGCACGTGGATGATCTGTGAAGACGGATGGAACTGATGGCACCTTCACTCCTCACAGTCCATGGACATGCATTTGCAGTACTGACCTTTCCATACTGCCCTCATCTCACTGGTGCCAGCAATTTCTAATAAATATGCCCTTGGAAACTAGTCTCCTCTCAATAATTTCTAATTTGGCATTGAAAACACTACTCATTGGCTTGGTCCTAAGTGAGGGGATGGCAGGGAGTGACTTAGTAGCCAAATTGAAATGGGCTGGATAGGGCCTCTGGTCTCATTGTTCAGATTTTAGAATATCTGACTGCTTAAGTGACACTGAATGATTGTAGAACTTGAGGACTTTTGTCCCAGTGAACATACAAGGGGGCTTCGGAAAGTTTGTGGAAAATGGAATTGGAAGATTTTGAATTTTTTTTCATGTACTTTTTTCGAGCCCCCTTGTATATTTAAAAGTTATGTTTTCAAGGCTGTGACTTTTTGGAAGCCGATCATCAGGTTTCTCTTATTTATTGTGTGCCAATGTGTAAGACGTTGTGCAAGGCACTTGATGGTAATTATGCTCTCTAATATAAATGACACTGCAAGGCAATGTTGCATGGATGTGTGTGTATATGTGTCGGCATATATATATATATACATATATATTTGTTGATAAAGAAGCTCTGGTAGCGTAGTGGTTACGAATCGGGCTGCGAACCTTAAGGTCAGCAGTTAGAAACTACCAGCCGCTCCGCGAGAGAAAGATGAGGTGTAAAGATTGACACCCTCGGAAACCCTGTACAGGGTCGCTATGGGTCGGAACCGACTCGATGGCACTTAACAACAACAACATTTGTTGATAAGTGCCGTTGTCATTGTTGCTGTTGATAAGTGCCGTCGAATCAGTTCCAGCTCATAAGGAATATGTATAGGGTCCCCTAGGAGTGACTGGTGAGCTTGAATCACTGACCTTGTGGTTCAAACTAACTTTGCAGTCCAGTGCATTAACCCACAGTGCCACACCAGGACTCACTCTCTCTCTCTCTATAAACACACACTCAGTCTCTCTATAAACACACACACACACATACACACACATATTTATTTATTTATCCTTCTTCTTTAAATGAAAATAGTGCAACTTTGAGAGGTGAAATCACTTGCTCAAGGTTAGCACAGCTACAAAATGGCAGCACTGAGACTTAACCAGGCCTGTCTGACACATTTCAATATAACTGTGTTTTTCTATTTCTACTCTATTTTCTACTTCAATACAACTGAGACTCACTTTTGGTCCAGCTAATTTTCCACTCAAACCATTGTTAAAGGCATAATAATTGCTGTTGTTGTTGTTGTTAGGTGCCATGGATTTGGTACCAACTCATAGTGACCTAAGTACAGCAGAACGAAAGACTGTCCGATCCTGGGCCAACCTCACAATTGTTGCCATGCTTGAGCCCATTGCATAATAATAGATCAAACTAAAAAAATCAAATCAGTTGCCAATGAGTTGCTTTTGACTCATGGCTACTCCTTGTGAGCAGAATAGGTTATCCGAGGCTGTGATCTCTTCAAAGCAGATAGCCTGGCCTCCCTTGTGAGGTGACTCTGGGTGTCAACTTCTAGATTATTAGTTGAGCGCTTAGCTGGTTGAGCCACTCAGGGACTCCACTAAAAAAGGATTAGAAGATAATGAAGACTAGATGTTTTTCTTGAAAATAAAATGCATTCAGTATCTTTGTTAAATTTCAAAGGAAGCCTGTTTTTGTTTCATGAGATGATTATAATACAAATTAGTTACAGTGTGTTTAAATGAGATAAATGATCTGAAAACATTCTAACATTTTGGTTGTTGTAGTTGTGTGCCCTGACGTTGCTTGCAACCCTATATAGTGCTTTTGAGAGCCGTTGATGGTTCTGAACTGCCAACTTGCAGTTAGCAGTGTGGTGACTGTCCTACATCACCACACCAAGTAGGTGTTTACTAAATGCTATGAGTCAGAATCAACTCAAGGGCAGTGGTCTCATTGTTTTTGTTTTGTTTTGCTTTGTAATGAGATTTTGAGTTGTGTTCTAAGTGGCTTATTATTTACTATGGACTGAGAACCCGGTTGAGCTGCCCCTTCTGATAGATACATGGCTCATACTTATGTGATAAACTCAAAGAGAAGCGTAAGAAATGAGTTTATGTATGAAAGTACCTTAACCTTCAGTACATTTCAGACTACCTGGTGTGGTGCTGTAGGATAAGAACTGGATCACAAGGTAGGTTTAAACTGCAAGGTCAGTGGTTCAAACTCACCAGCCACTCCTCAGAAATCCTATGCAGGGTCGCTATGAGTTGGCACTGACTTGACAACACTTAACAACAGCAACAACACAAGCTCGTTGAGTGATAGGTATCTGTTTTTAAAAGATCCTTGCTTATTTATGTGTGGCTGCCATTTATTAAGCAATTCTGTCTTTCATTTTTTTTTTTTTTAATTCATTATTCTCCATTGAAACTCTGAATTCGAGTTAATAGAGCTGCCCTGCTGTGTAGATTATATACAGAGAAGAGCATTCATTCTCAGAAGAGTATCCGAACTTGGCTGAAATGACACAATCTAATTGTGTTAACATTAGATTTTTTTTTTTTTTGACAATTCACGGTATTGGTCATGAAGTGAGCCGTATCCTCTGTGACAGTAATGAAAACGCCAAAATCACTGTACCATGGACCTTTTCTTTCTCCTTATCAATTGTCAAGGCACAGTCTGAGTCATCATAAAATATTCCCTCAATTGTGTCAACCAAACATACACACACTCAGAAGTATATGAATTCTATTTTGGCTGCCATGTTACTGTTTTTCAGACATTTTTCAGTAGAACTGTGATTTAATGAAGAATCATGGACTGCTGGAGCTAGAAGGCGGCACACTGCTCATCCACTCCAATTCATCATTTTACTGATGATACAACTGTGCCCCACACAAGTCAGGTGCTTGCTCAAAGACGTAGCTTAGGTGGAGTAGACAAGACTAGAATTCTGGTCCAGGACTTTGCACAAAACCACTTAACATGTGATGGTTATGATGATAATAATAGCCCTTATAACTTTGTGTGATTGATAGTGTTTTAGTACTATATATATACACTTCATGTATCACTAAGGAAAGGACATCAAACTTGGTCAAGTGGAAGGCCAGTGAAAACAAGGGAGACCTCAGTAAGCTGGATTCACATAGTGGCATCGACTAAGGGCTTAAACAATAAAACAATTGTGAGGATGGCACAGGACTGGGCAGGGCTCCATTCTGGTGTGCACAGGGTCATCATGAGTCAGAACTGATTTGATGGCATCTAACAACAACAACACATGTGTCATCAAATTAATTTTGCAAGTTTTGTTGTTATTGTGTGCCATTGAGTCAATTATGACTCATAGAGACCCTATATAGGGTTTCCAAGAGCAACTGGTGGTTTTGAACTGTCAGCGTTGCCACTGGACTGGTTACGAGTTAGTCTAGTGCATATCCTCAGTCTTAGATATAAAACCAGCTGCTGTTGAGTTTATTCCAACTCAAAGTGTCATCATGTGTATCAGAGTAGAACTGCATTTTATAGAGTTTTCAATGGCAGTGGTTTTGGGGGAAGGAAATCACCAGGCCTTTCTTCCAAGGCACCTCTGAGTAGCTCTGAATAACTAACCTTTAAGTAATGTGCGTTGGTGATGTAGTGGTTACAAGTCAGGCTGCTAACCTCAAGGTCGGCAGTTTGAAACTACCAGCTGTTCTATGGGAGAAAGATGAGGCTTTCGGCTGCCGTAAAGAATTACAGCCTTGGAAACCCTCTACAGGGTCACTGTGAGTTGGAACCAACTCCACGGCACATAACCACTACCAACAACAACCTTTCTGTAGCTGAGCACTTACCCATTTATACCACCGAGGGACTCTTTAGTGTTAAACATTGGCTAATTGAAGTAAAATGACTTGTCCAAAGGCACAAAACTAATAAGTAGTTTTGCTAAAATCTAGCTACCACACTACAGCTTTTTGTTATACAGTTATGTTCACTGACTACCACAAACTTTGAACTTAAATCCGACTGCAGGCTACAACAGTTCCACAAAACCTAGTGACTGCTCTGCCTTTGTCTTAAGTTTCATCATGATTAGATCTTAATATTTCATCTTCAACTTCTGAATTGTTATTATTTGTCCTAGATATTAAAAAAAAAAGGTATCCTCTATTAATTTTATTTCAAGAAATCATATTAAAATTCATGGGTCATATGCTGGGCTAATGAATGAATGAATGAGCAAACAAACAAAAATACCAAAGGCAGAATGTTGTTGTTAAGTGTCGTGGAGTTGGTTCCGACTCATAGCGACCCTGTACAGGGTTTCCGAGGCTGTAAATCTTTACAGAAGCAGAAAGACTCATTTTTCTCCCATGGAACAGCTGGTAGTTTCAAACTGCTGACCCTGAGGTTAGCAGCCCGATTCATAACCACTATACTACCAGAGGTCCTTAGAGGCAGAATAGCACTGTGGAATATTAATGGACTTGTTTGTATTCAATTCCACCATTTAGTCTATTGTCTTTGAACCTCATTTTCATTATTTTAAAAGAGAGCTAATAAAACTCTGTATACACATTGTTAAGAGTATTAAAAAATAAATATAAAGCAGATGATATTGTAAAGTGCTGCTGAGTTGGTTCTGACTCATTGTCACCTTATAGGGTTTCTGAGGAGGAGCGGCTGGTGGGTTTGAACCACCAAGCTTGAGGTTAGCAACCCAATGTTCATTGTACAGCGCCACACCAGGAGTCCATAAAGCATATGGAAAATGTGCCTATTTCATGATTGGTACCTAATAGCTGCTGGTGTTATTAGTAATAGTTATTAATAGTGTCCCAGGTTGGAGTTAACAGTTAATACTCTCGGTTGCTAACCAAAAGTTTGTAGGTTTAAGTACACCCACTGTCACCAACAGAAAGGCCTGCCAAACTGTTGCTGAAAATCCAGGCATTGGAAGCTAAACTGACATAAAGGGCAGCCACGAGCTGGAATTGACATAACAGCAACTAGTTTTACCAGTACCAATAGTAGTTGGATGCAACTGAGATGAGTTTTATGACTGCAGACACTGGGAATGACACTCTTTGGGTTTTATGTCCCGAATGAGAACAACTCACGTGAATTGGTTGATGGTGTGGTAGACGTCACAGGGGTCAAATTCAACTGGGAGATATCAAAGTCATCACAGTCATCTGTATCCTGTGCCATGCCGACTTTGTTGAAATAACTGGAGAAGGCCTCAGAGGTACAGGTGAGGGAGGGCTGGTCGGGCTTACGGGAGGGCACAGGAGGAGGCTGGACCATCTGGAAATCCTTAAATACTTCTTTGCCCATTTTCTGTCTGGGCTTGTCGGTCTGCGGACTTGACCTGGTGGAGTCACTCGTGGTTGGGACGGTTGCAAGGGGGGTGAGGGGACCTTGGAACATGGCGGCTGGCAAAGGCATAACAGTTTGTGTGGGCATGAAGGCGGCTGGCGGAAACTGCCCGGCAACAGCTGGCCAGGGCTGCTGAGTGGCAGGGAAGAGCCCCGGCTGTCCCCACGCTATGGGCTGAGCCCCCGGCATCACCTGAGCAACTGATGGCTGAGCACCCATGGCAATCTGCTGTTGGACAAGGGGCTGCTGGCCCCAGAAGGATGGGAGGACGGCACCCATTGCAACATAACCTGGAAGGGGAAAAAAAAAAAAAAAAAGTCAGGCTTCCTGGGAAAGAATGATTCACTGATTCATTGTGATTTGGTAACAATATATTGTGCACCTTCTATGTGTGAAGCTGTGTGCTAGGGATTAGGGATGCAAAGATCAAAGAGACAAAATACAGACATAAAGTCAACCTTCTCAGTTTGTCTTACTGGGGAGGTTTGCAAGTTGCTGTGATGTTTGAAGCTGTATCACTAGTATTTGAAATTACAACAGGGTGGACAGGTTTCTGCTGAGCTTCCAAGCTAAGATAAAGTAGGAAGAAGGAGAGGCAAAATACTTTTGAATGTTTAGCCCCTGAAAACCCTATGAGTACCACTGGAACACTGTCAGATAGCACAAGAATATTTAAACATGATGAACAGCCCCAGAAAAAAAGTCATATATACTGACAGAAGATGAGCCCCTCAATTGGAAGACACTCAAAATATGACTGGGGAAGAGCTGCTGCTTCAAAATAAAGCTTCCACGACCATCATTTGCTGATGGGCACAACACAAAATGAGGAGAAACAGCTGTAATACTCATTAATAATTGGAACATGGAATGTACAAAATAGGAACCTAGGAAAATTAGAAGTTGTCAAAATGAAATGGAAGGCATAAAGATCAATATCCTAGGCATTAGTGAGTTGAAATGGTCATTTTGATTCTGACAATCTATAGCTAACTGTTCTGGGAATGAGATATTGAAGAGCAAAGGTGTCACATTCATCTTCAAAAAGAACATTTCCAGATCTATCTTAAAGTATAATGTTATC